CTCCGGCTATTCCCCTTTTCACAGGCAGCCTCTTCTCCACCTTGGATTTTATCACTGTTGTCTCCTGACCTTTTTGTTCTCTTCCCCCTCCGCTCCCCTGCATTACTATTTGTCTTGCTTATCTCTACCTAGTTACATGTTCACTGACATCCCTCCACACTTGTAGCTTTTCTCATTCCTGGGTGTCTTGGACCAGCAGAGACTCCCTATGCCCCACGAAGGGTGACTGTGCCTGAAAGCTTGCTAAGAACTTTTTTCCAACTACTTAACTGATCTAATAAAAGATATCGTGTCTACTCAAAGAACCTCGCCCACCGGTGTCTTTGGACCAACACGGCTACAACCAAAAACTCAGCAACGTCAATGCTCTAAGTTGGGTTTTTACCAAAGGCACCAAGCATCAGCATCTCTCCTCCGCTCCACTGGGATCTCGGGTTCTGTGGTGCTCGCAGCCTGATGTGAGCACTGAATGCCTGATTTTTACATTTAAAGGGGAACTTGTTGACTGGGTGCATCTGTCCCTCAGACTGGCTGATCATTGCAGTGCTGAGCTGTGGCACTAGACATGCCTGAAAATTGTCTTGAAACAAAAAATCCTTGATACAAAAAAATCAATGGACTAAATATAGACATTGGATTTATGACATATTATCACCTCTCTAATACCTGACTCCCCAGGTACCTCTCCACTATTACCAGCTACATTTATTCCCCTTCCTCCCTCCCCACCCCAGCCTGTCTCTCACCCACTGACTCCTCAATTTACATCTTTGCTGACTGCCTTTCTTGCATGCAGCCCAGCCTCAGGCTTCTTTCATTCCATCCAGGAAGAGCACACACCAGCTGCAGATGCTTCCTTAGTCTGACAAAGGGTATTTATACCCAAAAGCTTGCTATGAAGAACTTTGCCAAATATTTGAGTTGGTTGGGTATCAGATTTACCCAAATAACCTTGTCTGAAAACTGTCTAACACTTAACTCATGAATCCTCTTTATTCTCTTTGTGTGAACTGTTGTGTCCTCCCTGCTGCTGTTGATGGTGAAAGGAGTTGGGCCAACAGCTTAATTCAGTGATTCTCAACTAGGGTGCCATGCAATCCTTAGGGTGCTACACAATATTAGCAGTGCTAGGCCTGCAAACACTTGCATGTGACTTGTAAGATAAACCTAGAGATCTCAAATGGGAATCCACGGTGTCAAAATCATCTTGGCCTGCTGTGGGCTTCCTGAGTTCTTTGCAACAGAAGAATCACTCTAGTATTTTCTGTAGTCAAAAAACAAGTGAAACTAAGAGCTGGTACTTCCCAAAGGGATCTCAAAAGTTTGAGAACCACTGGTTTAATGTATCACTTTGGGCCATGCCTTTAAACACATGCTGCCCCTCCTTTAGTTCAAACCTGTTTCATAGTTTTTAGGGCCTGAAGCATGTAAACCTTTTGCTGCTGTCACCATTAGATTTTTCTTTTTCCATCATGCAGCTGCTTCATAACAGTTTCCCAAATGTGCTCCTAATAAATTGCATCTGGTCCAGATTGCTCCCATGCTTTTGAATCCTGGAGTGATACCATTTTCTCATAGGCACAGCCTTTGCTTGCTGCAGCATCAGAAAGTAATTCCTAGAGCATCTCTTGCCTAAATGAGCTCTCACAATTTGATTGATGCTTAGTTAACAAGCCTCTCTTCCTACCGGTCAGCTCTCTAGGGCTGTATTTCCCAATCTCCAGAGCAGACTCTTGACTCATTTTCTTTACCTGACTCAGTCAGGTCAGCTCCATCTCTGCTTCTGCTTATTAATGGCTTCTCGCTAGACATAGAAAGTATAATGGCCTTCAAACTTGCTCTGATCTCTCAATGCATCTTAAGGAAGATCATTTGGATAATAAATATATTGGGAATTAAAAATAAGGCTCTTGTAAGACAACTACCTTGCAGTTCCAAGCCCTTTTGTGTAACCTTCACCTGTACGGCCTTTACGGGAGCAGCGAAGACCCATTCCTAGAGGTGTGTCACTATTGCTTGTTTCTGTGTACACCCCAACTGCTTGGCTCTAAGGTACAAGCTGCAATAAGTTGGGTATGTTTTAAAGCAATCCCAAGGGAAAATAACAAATGGTGAAATCGGTGCTTGCTTGAGCTTTGTTTGGGACAGCTTGAGTGATTCTTAACCATTACTTTTATTCCCCTCCTTTACTTTCCTCACTGTCTGTTGTGGTATGTGTCAGGCAAGTGCAAACGCCAGCTAGAGCTGCTAATGTTTTCCTGAACAAATACCCTCCAGGCCAGTGGTTCCAAACCAGGGGTGCCCCAGCCCATGGGCTAGATGTGGCCCATGGAGCTGTGTGATCTGGCCCGTGGGGCTCCCAACAGCTCTAGAAATTTAGCAGAGGAGGAATAGTGGCAATTACCAGTGCTGCTGCTCCTCTGCTGCCCAATTTCCAAGCCCCACAGGCCAGATCCCATGGCCCCATGTTCTGAATCTGGTTGGCATATGTGGAGCCAAGGCAGTGGACCTGATCCAACATGTAGGCTGGGGCTGAAGTGGTGGGCCTAATCTGCCACATGTAGGGCCAGGGCACTGGGTGAGGCTGCGGAGTTGGGGCAGCAGACCTGAACAAGGTGCACAATCCAACCAGTGCTAGATCAGGCCCACAGACTGACCCAACACCACTCCTCCAGCCCACGGGGCCCAAACTGTTCTAAACCCCTTTAATCGTGCAGCCTGCCCCCTCCTCAGCCCACACGCAGCGCTGCAGCCCACCTCCTGCATGGGCCAGTAGCCAGGTATGCCAGACACCTGCAGCACCTCTGGACTAGAAGCAGTGTAGCCATGTTTGTGTGGCACTGTCCCCAAATGGATTAGCACTGCCTCTCAGCAAAGCTAATTTGGTTTCTGACTCCATCCCCTCCAGCCCTAGTATCTACCTCTGCAACCCAGCAGTGGTCCTGCAAGGCTTGCTGGTTGCAAAGTGCTGCTCCAGTACAAATTTCATTAATGCTCTAGAGCAGGGGTGTCAAACTCAGCTGGGGCCCCAGGTTGGATCTGATCCAGCTTGAGGCATGAGGGCTACCACAGGGGCTGCTGCACGTGTGGCGGCGAGGGGCCTAGGGGGTATCAAGTCCAAGGGCAGCAGTGGCAAGCCAAGTTTGCTACTGATGGCCATGGCCCCAGCATGTGGTGGCTCGCTGGTAGCCCAGTGAGCCAGAGAGAGGCTCTGCAGGCCAAATCTGGCCCACAGGCTGAATGTTTGACACCCCTGCTCTAGGGTAGTGGTTCTCAACCCTTTCTAGGCCCCCTCCTACCCCCCTCCTCAGAAAATGTCAGCTCTTCACTTTCACTCATTTTTTGACTGTGGAAAATAGAGCAATCCTGTTGCAAAGAACTGAAGGAGGCTGCAACAAGGCAGTATGGTTTTGACACTGTGGGTGCCTACTGGAAATCTTTGGGTTTATCTTGTGAGTTACAGGTAGGTATTTGCACACCGAATTGTGCTAATAACACAGAGTACCCTTAAAAGGATCCCATGCCACCCTGATTGAGACTCACTGCTCTAGAGAGCAGAAGGTTGCTTTGATGTTGTTCAAGACTTTGCTTTACTTGCTTGCATGTACTTGTAAGAAACCAAATGAAACTCAAAAGGAGATGACGTTTGTGTCGGTGGACTAACGAATCCACAAGTGAAAGTTTTTCAAAGTATGGCTGCAGCTAGGGAAAGTGTCATCCAACCGAGTCAGAACAAACCATTTGTCTCAGCAGACATCACAGCGTGGAAGAACCCCATTTATTTTGGCTATTGCAGCACAGCGTACGGTTAGCAGAAGGTCAGGATCTGAGTGGTCCATCAAATAACTTCAGCGGCAGTAGTTGCAGTAAGGCGCTGGCGGTACACAGTCTCTGGGTGGCGGGCTGCCCCTATGGGATTCATCATAAGAGAGTTGGGAACTTTGAAATGTTCTTGTTAGTGCACAGAGATGTAAATATCCTGAGCTTGGCACTAGGTCTGTTATTCCAAATGGCCAGTGGGAGGCTATTTCATGGTAACAGTGTTTAAAACAGGTGATACTATCATTGTCATCATTACTACTGCTACTATATCTTTGCTCTATTAAACATCTTCAAACTTCAGTACAAAAAGAATAGGAGACTGGTTTGCCTTCTGAACGTAATATTATTATTAACTCTCTATATTGTGGCAGTGCCTAGTGTAACAGTCCCCCAAGCATCACTCATGGGTGATACTTTATTTGTAAGACCCTCCAATGTTGCTTAATGCCATGGGCAATTTTGCTTTCCAGTTTCTTCAGGCTGACAGCAAAGTCTGACATCGGCCACAGGGTGTTATTCATTGCTGTTGTTTGTAGACCAGGGAGGTTTGGGACTGCTGAGCTATAGCCACAGTAAGAGTTAGGAGCCCTACTGTGCTGTGTGCACACGCCCAAAATTTTGTTCTGCTTCCACAAGCTTCTATTAGAAATGACAAGCAATCTTGGAACAATTCAACTGCTTAACTTCAAATTGTGATGCCTGTGTGTTTCTCATTTTAGTATGAAAATTAATGGAGTATCATTACACAGCAGCTTTCAACCTGGATGACTCCAAACTACAGTACACATGGCACATGCATATAGTAAAGTAGCCAACAGGATCCAACGCAAGCCTTGCCTCCACAGACCCTTGCCTTAGCCAAAACCCTAGTCTTACTAAAGAGATGGGATCTCCAGTGTCTGCACACAGCAGCAAAGAGGGCTAGATTTTAAGGTCTTATCTAAAAGCTGGACCTAACAATATTGGAGACATTTGAGACATTGTGAATGTCGCTGCTGTGCACTGCAGCGAGGGGTTCAAGGCCTTAGGGGGCCCAGCAGGCGGATACTTGTGACGCTTGGAGTGGAATTAATTAGGCGGACGCTTATCGGTTGCAAAGCAAGATTGGTTACTTACGCCGCCAAGGTGGTGAATGACGGAGGTCAGATACTTGGTTAGTTACAGCTTAGGGTTCATTAGGTCGGTGTGCATAAGCGTTCGGGCAGAAATAGTCAGGCCGGCAGTCGTTGATTTACGTCTGAGATTGGGTCAAGACGGGGAACTTAGACAAGTGATCAAATTGTCTAATTACTCTGACACGTATGTTCAGAGGTCTCCAAGGTGTGTACGGAGGTCTCCAACTTTGCGGAAGTAAAAACGGGTTTTATTTGTGTAATAGCCAATTGGTTTTCGCCACATCATAAATTTAATTAGAATTACCAATTATATAGCAGTTTTCGCTAGGGTGTTATTTTAGGGCTACTCCCTGTATTACTCTGACCAGTTATAATGATTTATGTAAAGCACAGAAGGTTAAAGTTTCATTTCTGTTAGTGGCACAGCTATAAATCTCTTGTTGGCATGCACAGCGGAGAAGGCTGTTACTATCATTTTGTTAACCCTTAGTTAACCTAGTGCAAAATAAAACTGCTTTAAATAGTATCTCTTGCTTGTGGCATGGGCACTGCTTAATTGGGTTATGACAGTGAAGTGAACCCCTTTTTAAAAAGATCTTCAAAGAGGGAAGTGAAAAAATCAAGTAAAATGCATGCAGCACAAGTTGTCTATCATGGAAAGAAAGGCTGAGACTTTCCCTCCAGGATTTGAGCCAAGGGTGCCTAACAGCTCTGGGTGATAACACAAATAGCAGTTAAATGAGGCTGATAATCACTTGGATTTTGGGGGAAAGAAGAGGGGTGATATGTGGCCCTGCTCTATTGAAGTCTCATTTCTAAGGATGTGTGCACATTTACTAAGTCAACTTAAAATAAGGCAATTTAACTAAGACAACTTAAGCCACATCAGAGCATACACAGGTACAGCTCATTGACATGGTAGTAGCCATCTTGTGAGCTAAGTTGATTTAACTAATGCAACTCAAGATAACACACCTCAAAGGTATATTATCTTGCACCGCATTTAAGTCGACTCTGTTCCACGTTTGTATGTACTCTCTGACAGTTAAGTTGACTTTAAAAAGGTTAACCATCAGAAAAATAGTACATGTGTACGCACCCCATGATGCTATCTCGCTGAGGTCTTACCTTTGAAGGTAACGGCGGGCATTTCACCAGGTAAGCACGGTATCATTCTGGTTGATCTCTCCAATAATATCATTGTACTTTCTGGTCAGTGCATTGGCTTTCCTGGTCAGGGTCATCAGAACATGGTACAAGCCTGTAAAATGGTGGTAAAACAGCTCTTCGAGATTGGCATCCCCTCTGTTCTCTTTTTTTTCCTCTTTGTTGGTGACAGGGAGTTTGCATTTCTCTCTGGGTACTTGGCCACCCTCCACAGCGAGTTTGATTGATTTCAGCCGGAGGTAGTGCTCATACAAGTCTTTTTCACCAAAATCAGCAGTGGCTGTGTCATCCTGTTCCACAAAAACACCTCTCAGGAGACTGGGGAACAAGACCAATTGTTCCATTTTTCGGACAGCAGAGAAGTACTCTTCCATGGCCATGACCAGATGGTTCTTCTGCCACCAGATCTGAACTAAAGACTGTTCACTAAGTGCAAGTGCTGAAGCCTTGCACCTTGCTTGGTGCTAAGGTGGGAGAGAATAAGCACAGCAAGCGTGCAGCCTTTGAAAGTGAAAAAGAGGTGGTGCTGTCATCTCCAGACACTCCTCTATATGTAGCTAATCAAAATGCTGAGCAGCAGGAGGTCAGAGTCTGCTTAATCACTGTTTGGCACCATGATGAGTGTCACCCAAAATGATCCCTAACTTGACCATAAACTGAGACATTCAGCGGTCACCTTATCTTTCAGTGCAGAGATAAGAAAGGGTTTGCAAGAGTAGCGGCTGCATGGAAATCTAGTCTGCAGCCGATTGCAACAGATCTTCCAGACAAAATAGGGAGAATTGGGATCTGGAATCCTGCCTCCCCACACAGAGCCTGAGAAGAGCAATGCGTCCCCAACTTGACCCTAACTGCGAAGCTGTCACACAGTTATGCCATTTATGGCACTGAGTTCCCTGGAAGCCCTTATTGCAGAACTCAACAAACACACATTTCCCAAATGACCAGCAGACTAAATGCAATGTATTAAGCCCAGATGCAGAGAGAAAGAGCAGTAGTTTGTCTGGAGAACAAAGGGGAGGTGGCAAAAAGGAGGGGAGAGAATAAGAAAAACCTGTCTGAAAAAGCTCAGGGTTAAATCCCTCAAGTTTAGGTGCCATCCAGTGTCTGTTAGGCCCCCTGCCAGCTAGTGGACTACACAGCCCTGAGCTAGGTGCTCAAGCTCCCTGCACGATGCATAAGCAGAGTTATCCCAGACTCATACAGAAGTTGGGCTGGAAGGGATATGCAGAGGCATCCAGTCCAACCCACTGCTCAAGGCAGCATCATTCCTATCCTAACCATCCCATGCAGGTGCTTGTCTACATAGGTCACGCTGAAGCACTGCCTGGTACAAGCATTGATGAGCACGTGTACTATTCTTTTGCTGTCATGGACCAATGCAGTCCTCACTAGAGCTAAGACTGGACCATGACCTGCTTGCACAAGTTTCAGCTGAAATACTTATACACAAGGCTGAAACAAGGTAATATGAAATGATACAAGATAGGGGGGACTGCCAGGAAGGGGAGCCAAGTGCATCGAGCATGGGACAACGCAATACTTTTATGATGAAGAAACAGGAACACGTGGATAAGGATGCACAACAGGGACATGGCAGCCTGAGGTAACCAAGAGCTTGTGGCGTGGTTTCTTTTAGTCAACATGGTTTTGCTTAGTAATGTGGGTTAATCTGTAGAAAAGAGGAGCTGGGACACCTGGAATCTTGTACTGGCCTGGGAGAAGGTCACAGGTAAGCACAGGTACGCCTCGTCACAGGTAAGCACAGGCTAATGCAGGGACGGGCAGTTATTTCAGGCGAAGGGCCGCTTACTGAGTTTTGGCAAGCCATCGAGGGCCGCATGACAGGCAGTTCAGGGCAGATAAATGTTAATTTTCTAAATTTTTTAGGGGCCCCACAGGCCAGATAGAATGGCCTGGTGGGCCGCATTCAGCCCACAGGCCTCATTTTGCCCACCTCTGGGCTAATGGGGGGGAGAGCACCGTGTCCAGAAGACAATGAACCTCCGAGTCTTCACTGCTGAGTCCTGTGGTCTTTCTTTGTATATGCCATGGTCTTCGTACACTGGAGTCAGAGATGAGCAGACACCAATAAATATAGATACAACAGTCTAGTTCTACTATTAAAACAACACCGCCAACCCTGTTGCACAACTACAAGGCATGTTGCCCAAAACACCAAGGGCGCTCTGACCTGCCACAAGAAAGCAGGAGGACGACACTGTCAATCCCAGCTGCTGCAAGGGCAGGCAGCAGTTGTTAAAATATATTCACTTAATTCAAGGAAGAGGGCCACATCTGCCCTGCAACTGTACAGAGGAAGGCAAAACCCCCAATGTCCATGCCGATGGGACCGTGGGGGTAGGATTCCTTCCCGATGCGAGAAGTGGTTGGTCTGACCCTGAGCAGAGCCTCCAGGCTTCAGTCACAGCAGGAGGACTGGCACACCTAGTCACAAGCCTAGTCCCCAGTGGTGGTTGCAGCCAACACCCTATGCTTTGAGGAAGGTGAAACAAAATCCTAGGGTAATTGAGAATGGGATTCAAAGCAGCCAGTATGCTGCCACTGCAGCGTGCTGAGAAGAGGGCTGTTGCCTCGCAAATCTGTTCAGGGTTTACGGCCAGGATCCTTCTCCTTAGAGCTCCCTAGTGTCTAAGCCAGTTTGCCCTTCCTGTGGGGCTCTGAGGGGAGAGAGATGTTCTATCATAGCCCAGGGACTTAGGCACTCACATAGGAGATGGGGAACGAGTTTACCATTCTGCTTCCACTTGCACTAGGGACTTGAACCTGGGTTTTCCCCTTCTGATAGCCTGCAGACCAGTGGGTATTTTGGGGGCGAGTTACTCTAGATCTCTCCAGTTGAACTTATTGCATTTTCCAGAAATGATGCGCAGCACTGTCCGCAACGTGCATTTAACTCACAGCAACATGTTCCTTTGTCCATAGCCTCAATTTCCCCAACTTTGAAATGGACATAACACCACCTGACTGGGGTTTTATGAAGTTTTTATAGGACCCTCTTGTTCCCCCTTTTGACACAGGTGTTTCATCAGGACTTGGCCACCATGGGTCAGTCCAGGAGGGGAGCTGGGGTCAGGTATCTTTGGTGCAATTCTGTTTGTTTACACGAAGGTACAAAGTCCTGCTTCCTAGAGCACACGAGCAGCCAGTCAGCCAAGGACAGTTCCTCTGCTTATAGTAACAAAACTTTCACTTTTCCCCCTCGAACACCTCTGCCCAGCAGTTAAATGTGATCTACCAGAAGGTGGCTTCAAACTATCAACGCTGGGGGTTATGGGCCCAGTATACTTCCACAGACCATCTCAGCTCCTAAGCAGCCTTTGGTTTGGGTGCAAGCATGTGCATTGCAATCACTTGCAGCTCTCTCTAAGCTAAGGGACCTACAAGTCTTAAAGAAATTAGCTTTACTTATTGCCTCGATCAGCTAGAAATGGAGACTCTTAAAACCCATCCAGAAGGAAGGCGATAAGTGACTGGGTACACTGCAAATGTTACATGCTGACCTTTCATATCACCACTGCAAAAACAACTCACTTTTTCACTCTCCACACCTCTTTCAACCACCCAGTGTTGAGTGTCTCAAGGTCTCTCTGAATTTTCTGATGAAGAGACTCTGCCCATCCTGTTCCAAGAAGGATCTCACTCCCGTGACGTGTCCCCGGCCTCAGTTCCTACAGATACATTATCCGTTTCAGGGGACAGCAACACTGAATTCCTGTCTCCTGAAAACTCCTTACATTGTCCATATGGGTAACTGGGCTTAACCCTGAAACCCAACTCTATCCCATGCCCCATTCTGTTTATTCAGCAAAAGTATGTGCCTGTTTAGTTGCGGAGTGTAAGGTTTCTGACTAGACCGGGGTGGGCAATACTTGGACTGAAGGACCACTTAGGGAGTTTGAATGAGCTGTTGCTGGTCAGGTCAGCACCTGCCCCCCCACCCCGCAACAACTCACCCAAACTCCTTGAGTGTTAGATTACTAGACTGGTGCAGGGGTGCCAGACAGTGCGGGCAGGTGGGCAGGCAAGGACTCCCGCGGGTAGGGCGCTCTCGGCTGGGTGGAGGAGATGGGGCCACAGGAAGTGGCATCCTGGAGCAGGACGGGTGAGTGGGGCCAGGGCTGGGATCACAGGATGGTGACAGTGCAGGGCCAGGGCCCAGGGCAGAGCCACAATCTGCTCCTCACATGGCCCCGCACTGTTACCACCCCACAATCCCAGCCCCGGTCCCAGCCCCACCCATCCATCCTGCTCCTGGATGCCTCTCCCCACCCGCCTGCAGCCCTATCCCATCTTCCTGGCTGACACACTCTGCCTGCAGGGGTCCCAGGCCCATAAGTGGTGGGGGGAAATATAATTTAGGGGGGGCTAGGCCCTGCCTGACCCCTGCCCTCCCCTCCTGCACGGCCATTGCAGGGCTGGCACATGCTGGTGCTGTATGTGGCAGAGGAGCGGCTGCACACTGAGCGATGCCGGGCGTTGCAGGTCAGCAGCTCCATGGTACTGCTCGTTGCCAGCTGCCATGAAAAGTTTAGGGGGGCTAAGCCCCGTTAGCCCCAGCCTTCTACCGGCTATGCCCAGACCTGTCTTCATGGAGACCCTGCCTGCTCCATCCAGCACCCCCAGCAGTGGATGCAGGGCAGACAGGACCAGGAACAGCTGGGGATGCTGGAAAGATGAGTCTGGCCACTGTGCCACCCCAGCCCCGCTGTGTGCCTGGGGGCGGTGGGACCAGCCACATGTGCTATAGCCTGGGCTGCCCCCGTGCTTGGGCCAGGCAGGGCTGGAGACCCACCATGAACCAGATGCAATCCCTTGGCAGGCTGGATCTGGCCCACAGGCTGTATTTTGCCCACCCCTGACCTAGACTAATGAATCTACATCTTTTTGCTCATTGTGTGGGCTCCTTAGCTTGCACCCAGACAGAAGTGCTGGGGTATGCTTTCTCCTGTCATCCAGTACAGGTTGAGCAGCTAGTCACAGCCGCTTGGCACTGTTTTACCAAGCAGCCAGCTGAACCTGTTGAACGTTGCCAGTACATCTCAGCAGTATTGGGGCAGGGGGGCGGCACAAATGTTTTAGCTGCTTTGAATATCACAAACCTGAAACACTTCAGATTCAAAACTTCTCCCTTGACTTGTGTCTCACGTGGAACTTCAAGTGCAGCAAAGAACACATTGCCTGAAACTTCTGGTACTGTCAACAGTCTCTTACATAAACCTCAGGCCACCTTGCAAAATAGTCCTGAGCTGCCAGGATGTATTGATTACTGTCTGGTCTCTGCTCCAGGCCAAGGCTCAAATCTGTCTATGGCCATATGCTGCCGTGGTGTCCTTCTACCCAACATAATCCTGCCCTGGGACTCTCTCAGTCTTACAGGCCCTCCTTTTCCAATGCAGACATCACATTTTCTGCACAAATTATCCACAAACAATCTTTTTGCACAACCACCAGACACAATGCTGCAAAACACCACGAACA